ATTAATCATTTCTGGGTCTGCAGTCATCTGCGCGTAATCTACGGTCATCTTCCTCACACTGGAAATCCCTGGAAGAAAGAAGTCGGACTCATTCATCATGTATTCCTAGCACTGAAATAACCGCCCGGCCCTCATGGGTGCTTCATATACACGAACTCGCCGTCATCATTTCCCCCATGTTTTCTCATTTATCACATTGAATTAAGAATGTTGTTCTTCCAAGGCTATTTCTATGTGGTAGGTTAATGGCTGCCCAGCATGATCTATGCAAATGTATCTCCCAAGCTGAAGTCCGGCACTGTGCTTGTTTCTTCTGCTCAGCTCTCTGGTGTCGGTCTGACTTTGGTTTCTCCTACTGGATACTCTGATTGGCTTGGCTATAGATTGTTTTTTGTTTTTGTTTTTTTTAAAGAAAATCCTTTTGGTTTGTTTTCCTACAACTGATTGCATATGGTGTGCCCGTTTGGTGAGTTGGCCATGCATCAGAACAATCGGGGAGGTCAGAGTCATCTTCTAGTTGCAGAGGGGCCTGGAATCTTTAGTGGAAGAAGCTGCTGTCCTGATCCGCTGCTTTACCCGTAAGCACTCTAACTCTGAAGACGATAAATTCTCTTAAAGGAAAAAAGTACCTGAATAGTCTGCCAAGAAGTACTTACGATGCTTCTAGTCAAATGCAGTTTGTGCTGACTTTTGCCTCTTTAGCCAGTTAAAACCATGGTGAGGCAAACAATGTAAATGTCCATCAACAGGTAAGTGGATAAACATATGGTGGTATATGTACGCAATGGAATACTACTCAGCAATAAAAATGAATGAACAGTTAAAACATGCAACATCAAAATAAGCATGCTGGGTGAAAAAAAAACAGATTTTCACCCAAAAAGAGAGAGTACCTATTGTTTGATTCCATTGACATAAAGTAGAAAGTACGAACTAATATAATAGTAATAGAAGGTAGACTGGATTGCTGAGGAGTGGGAGCAAGGCCGGCAGGAAGGGAGGGGAGAATTACAAAGGATTGTAGGAAGCTTTGGGAGGTGATGGACATGCTCACTGTCTTCACTGTGGTGATGGTTTCATGGCGTATACATATTTGTCAAGTTCTGGACACTTGTAAAATGGTATACTTCACATAGACGCAATGTACTGTAAGTCAATTATACCTCAATACAGCTGTTTAAAACAGGTGGCCAGAGGTGAGGAGGAAGGGATTCCGTCTAAGAACACAGGTATACAGTGCTATTTTAAAAGTGGTTTTCAGAGAAGAGGAATGTTCAATATGTTCAATACTCACCAAATACCTTTCTAGAATGACATTTTCCTGAAAATGTCATTTTCTAGGAATATGGGAATTGTATTTTTGAAAGGAGCAGCCAGGTTGCAAGCAGATGATTAATTATCATGGAAAATCATTGATGTATCATCGCAATTTCACAGTACTTCTTACAGTTAAAATAAAGCTCCTTCACATCTCTCACAAAGGTATTGTGAAGCTTTAATTGATTTGTGTTGGTAAAAACCCTTGGTTACTGTTGTGGAAAATAATTGAATTAAGCATCAAAATAGAAATGTACAACTTTTGTTGTTGTTTTTATATTTGTTTTTCTTTATAATAAACATTGCAGGGTGCCAACTATTTTAGCACATTATTAAGCCAGAGGAGATGCTGAACTCAGGGGCTGGCACATCTGTTGATTTAATGTAAATTACAGAATCTGTAGAGATGTTTAAAGAAACTCATGCAGCTATCTCTACGTGCCGGAGAATCTTGCGAGTACCACTTGCACACTCATTAAGGAGCAGTAATGACTTATGCAGAGTGACATGAGGAATATACATCTGTAAGCTCAGTTGTATGCATACTTTCTTTATGGCAAGGTAGGTATTTTTTGTCTTCTTTTGAGAAGAACAACTTCATATTAACTTAGCACCACGGTAAGGAAATACAATAAAAAATGTAAATGACAATACTGATCAGAAGACAATGTGGACACTGTCCTCAGGGACACGAAGTAACTCACAGTCTAAAGATGTTTAAGTCACAGGCTACATCTAGAGTAACAGACACAGAGTGCAGTTAACAGTGACTCCGCCGTGGAAGTACACTCAGCGGCGATGCGCACCCACTAGGTCTTCAGTAACTGTCGGCATCATTCGTAATTTCAAAAGTGAAATTCGAGGTTGTGGCCCAACATCAGTGAACAGACCTGAAGACTATCACCCCTCCCTGTTTGCAAAGCAGAGACAAAGAAGAGATTCCTGTGTTGTCTCGGGTCAAACCCATCCGATCAGAACTGAGCACGGAGAAAACCGGTTCAAGAAGGTGTTGTTCTTTAGGTAGAAACAAGTTTATTCTTTCAGAGAGAAACGGCTTAAGAAGGACTCTGCTGGGGATCCGAAGGAGAGACCCAGAGCCAGGGGAGCAGATGTCCACATCTGGGACGAGAAGTTCCTTATGAGGCCAGGAAGGACGTCTGCAGGTCATCGTGGTCAGCTGTGCGGAGCCCTGCTGTCCATCGGCCGGAAGGCGGCAGTCACAAGCCACGGGTGGAAATTTACATTTAAATGCAAATTAATTAGAATTAAAAAGGCATCTCCTCGGTTGCCCTAGCCACATTTAACGTGTTCAGTAGATAACTGTGGTTAATGGCTCCCATGTTGAATGATGCAATATAAGATATTCCATCATCGCAGAAAGTTCTAGTGCATGATGTTGGGCTAGAATGAGGCAGAGGCCACACAGGGATGCTACGCTGAGAGAGCAACTCTGTCGCGTAGAGTTGAGAATGGGTCACTGGTTAGAAAGGGGCCATGTCACTCAACTCCCAGAGAGGAGACAGACCTCGGTTCATACCCTCTCAGCCCCGCCTTCGATAGAAGGAGCCGAAGCGACTCTTTATGTCCCCGTGCCCTCTGGGACCTCAAAAACTAACTGTGTGTTTTCCATAAAATATTAAATCAAGAGAAATGAAGACAGCACACTTAATGTGAAATAAAGTTCATATACTCCTGTTTAAACACAGATTAGAATTTCTGTCAGAACAATGCCAGTGAAAAGTTGACATTCTAATTAATACAATTTACATTATAAAGCGCTGAATATCTTTATCTTGCTATTATGAAATGCCCTCTTTAAAAAAAAAAAATCAATGCTCTACTCCACAGGGAATTGAGTACTAAGGGCAGTATTTAAAAACCCATGTACAAGAGAGGTGCTTAAGGTTACTGGCATTTTTCTCTTTTTTTTTCATTTTTGCTCCATCCCTCTGCGCCCCCCACTACCACCCCCACCAGGCTGTCTGCCTGCTCTCTGCTTATGAGTCTGTCTCTATTTTGCTTGTTAGTTCAGTTTGTTCATTAGAGTCCACATACAAGTGAAGTCACATGGGACTTGTCTTTCTCTGACTGGCATATTTCTTTATTTTTTTATTTTTTTTTATCCTCATCCGAGGACATTTTTCCATTTTTTTGTACAGATAGAGTGGGAGGGAGAGAGAGGAAGAGAGAGAGAAACATCGACGTGAAAGGGACACATCGAGTGGCTGCCACCCGCACGACCAACCAGGGCCGGGGACAAACTGCAACCGAGGTACATGCCCTTAGCGGGAACCGAACCCGGGTCTCTCCGGACCGTAGGCCAATGCTCTAACCGCTGAGCCAAACCGGCCAGGGCTGACTGGCATATTTCACTTAGCATAACGCACTCCAGGACCATCCGTGCTGTCGCAAAGGGTAAAATTTTCCTCCTTTTTACAGCCAAGTAGTATTCCACTGTGTGAATGTACAGTGGCTGTTTCATCCACTCATCTGCTGATGGGCAGGTTACTGGCATTTTACACACCATCAACCCAGGCCTCTACAGGGGAAGCAACACACTCACCCTCGACCACACAGTGTGTCTTTGTCACCTGCAAGACTGTTTGCATGCAGCTAGGACTGGGAGACCACTTTTCTTGCAATGACATAAAACATTGCAAAACACAAACAGCAAACAACCAGAGCCTCCTCCCTCTCTCCCTCCCTCCCTCCCTCTCGCACCAACACAGGGCGCAGTCCTGAAACCCTGTGACCGGTCACCCATGTAGGACTCTCACACAATGCTTCAATCCATATTCCGCGTGTGTAAGAGGGGCAGAAAATCAGCCCCACAGTTGGGTACCCAAGGATTCGTGTTCATCGCCTTTGTCAATTTTATGCTAACGGTGAAAGGAATAAAGATGAGATCCTTAAAGCTCGAATTTTCATTTCCTATGACAACGTGCTTTTTCTTCATGCTTTATCACACTCCACTACTTGGTTTCCACCCCTTCATAATTGATATCGGCCATTTGAAGCATTCAGTAAAAACCTCATGAGGTTCACCAAATGTCCCCCAGTCTATAATTCTTGCCTCTAACATATTCAGAAGCATATTCACCGGGGTGTTTTCCACCTCCCTCTATGCCTTTGCTTCTGCACAGGGACGAGTGTAATGACAGTTGTATTAATTATATGCTGAAAACCCACACAGCAGCAAAAATGATGGAGATCGTCGTTTTAAATATTTTATTAAAATAACCCAGTGTAGAACAGATAAAGTAGACCCTCTTGATAATGAGAGGTTCATTAATTTTACAAGAATTCTAGAAAGCTTAGAATGGTCATCAAAATTATCTCTCTCATTTACTTATTTTTTTTTTTAAGAAGGGGAAAACCTTCCATCGCTGCTTTAGAGAGTCGGGGTCTAATGAAATTTTCTAAGGTAGTTTTAAAATAATTACTTACCTTTCTGGGAAAAAGTTCTGAAAAAAAAAATAGCTTGAAATATGGAGGATTTAGATTGCATAGTTTTATTTGAAATGCCTATAAATTTTCCGCGGCTGCAGTTTACCCCATTAAAATTTGGTTTCATTAGCATTTAATGACTTCTGATAAATAAACTTGAAATTCTCTATAAACAAATAAGCAGTGCATTAAAGTTCTCCCATTATAAACAGCAAAAGCAACACAGTCTTGCCTACCAGGTGTGTCTCCAGGTACAGTTTAAGGCCATCCGTCTCTGCTTTAGGGGGTGTCCAATTCTCTGTGGTTTCCATGGCTTCATTTAACCATTGAATGAATTCATCCAGCTTGTTTACAAACCCCTTGGGACAAAAGAAAAAAAAAAAAGGCGGGGGGGGGGGGCAACAACAGCATGTTAGTTGGTTATTTTTTCAAAGCCAATCTTAAATATCCCAAACCTCACCAATGGTAAAACCGATACCACTGCATTTCCATCCTAAATTCCACACTGGAGAACAAATTTTCTAGCATTCCTGGTACTAAAGTCTATCAAAATGGAAAGAACGTGTCTGTGACTCCCTCTCAGTTTTTTCCTAGGAACGTTTTTCTGAGAAATTTGGGCTGGGCTCCAGGATGTCATTGTCAAGGTGACCTCAAATTATCAAAACATTTTTGGTGTATGACAAGCTCCCCTCACCAAAATAATAATAGGTCAGGTCTGCGAGGAACACTCATTGGCTTTGGGGGATAAAAACATTTCTGTAAAGATGGTATTTGGAAACCTATAGAGTTGAGTTTACCTTAACTGAATTGGAAATCTATTTTTAAGTCACATAAGTGTTTTAAGGGGGTCGGATGAGTTCTAATGACAGCCCACATATTTGTGGCTGTGCCTGGGTTCTAAGAAACACAGAAGAGTAGAAAAGGTGGGGCCAACGAACAAATAAATGTAAACATCTGCTCTGGGTGTGTCCCAGACATAAAGAAATATTCTTGAGTAGGAAGCACAAATCACAATAATCTTGCAATTTTTCAAATAGTGGTTATAAAAATTTATTGCCCATTTAAAAGAACACATCTGTAGAAATGGAAATTATTTTAAAAGCCCAGACGTGAACTTAAGGCAAGGAGATGGGGCTGGGTGCCTGCTTTCCATGTCTAGGTAAACAGCGCCACCTGGAGGTCAAAGGGAGCAAAGACAGGCTTCGACATTTGTACTCAGAGATGGCTTGGGATGCTTATTTCCCTATTAAACTTAACCTATATTTTTAAAGATTTGCCTTTTGATTAATTTTCAATAGCATTCTTAATGCTTAACGGGATATCCTGAGACTTAAGTGATAATAGGTGAAGATTCATTTTCTTTATCATGCTTCTCAGAAGCTACATTTTGTTATTAAGGTTTCTCCTAGATAATAGTTTAAGGTTCATAAACCTTTAATTCAAGCAATTGATTGGCCTCAAAATAATTATTAGAAAAGATAAAATGGGTCTCCGAGGGTGGGGCTGCTGCTTCTCCCCAGAGCTCCGGGAAGGAGCAAGATGGTCACCATCCTGCGTGGTCGCAACTCAGCAGAAGCTCTGAGCGCCCTCCAAACCCCGAGTGTCCCCACACAGTTCCAGTCCAGTCCGCCCTCCCTCTGCCGGGGCCCAAGAACATGCATTTCATGGTTCCAGCAATCATGCCAACACTTCGGCCTGCAGGAAAGGAGGAAGCAGCGAATGGTGTACCTCCTCCCTTAGGACTATTTCAGATGTCCTACCCAACATTTTCCTCAACCCACTGGGCAGAACTTAGTCTCATGGTCAAACCTCGATGACCGAGAAAAGCCATAGTTATAGCTAAAGCTGGAAAGAATTATATTAAGGGAAAGGCAGAAAAGGGACATCGAAATTATTAATAAAATCCAATTTAGAAAAAATGGTATTGAGAAGAGTAATAAAGAGAAAGGCATACCAGTAACCCCTAGAAAAGCATCCCTGTTTTTTGAAGAGGGGATACAGCAGACACATGGACACGGAGGTCCCTCCAGTGGTCTCAGACCATCCCGCCACGCTCTGGTGCACTGTCGGCCTGTTAAGTCCATCATCCCACATAGTAGTGTATCACATGTTTCCCAAGTTCCTAAATGCTACCCAAAGTTTTTCCTTTTGAAAACATCCCCACTTTGCCAAGGGTCATAGGGCAATCACATTCATTCTTTTGAAAAATCTCTAATGTCTCATATTGCATCTTGTTCTAAATGCTAGGAATCCACGTCAAGTAATTAGTTTTGCCCACGCTCATATATTTAGTCTGTTAGAAATGGACTCCTAATTCTTGGCATTCTCATAATTAAGTCCTGTAAAAAAAAAAAAAAAAAAATTAAATAGCCTTCACTGACCAAATAGACTTACAGAACTGTCATCTGCCTGATTTTCCTAAAATCTCTCACGCAAGCAGCATCTGGCCTCAGCGAGTCCCATCCCTCTCGCTGAGGGACCCAGGCCCAGCACTGGCGATAGCCAGCCTTCCTTCACAGCGTGGCCTCTCCTGGGCATTTCCAAGCCCAGCACAAGGAACAGCCATTTGCAGGTTGCTTTGCACCTCATGCCCCAGACAGAGCACAGGTCAAGGGTCACCTTGGCCTGTATCTCCCAGGAGGCCCCAGATCCAGCGCACCGGTGGACAGCTTCCGACCATGTCAAACCACCTCCATAAGTGATACATTCCAGGGGTGGACCCAGCAGGCACCAGAGCCCCCCTGAAGTAAGCCCTGCTCTGTGGGGTGGGCCCCTGCACAGCTGGTCCTCTACAGTGGTCGGAGGTCAATGGTTGGTGGTCACAGCTGATCTGCCTGGGGATAAATCCCTCCCAAAGACATGTCAACAGCAATCGCAACTCAACTACAAGAGGAGGGTGTACACAGCCCGCAAGAGGGGCACACCTTGATGCCCAGCTGGGTTGATCAGGGAGGCTGTGCCACTGGACCCTACAGAACACCTACTACAGAAGGCCACTCTAGCAAGCCTGGGAGACACAGCAGCTCTACCTGACACACAGAAATAAACACGGGCAGGCTGTCAAAATGAGGAGACAAAGAAACATGCTCCAAATAAAAGAACGAAACTCCAGAAAAAGAACTAAACAAAATGGAAACAAGCTATCTACTAGATGCAGAGTTCAAAACACTGGTTATCAAGATGCTCTACGAACTTAGTGAGAACATCAACCGCATAAAAAAGAACCAGTCAGGAATGAAGGTTACACTAACTGAAATTATGAATAATTTACAGGGAATCAGCAGTAAAGTAGATGAAGCAGAGAATCGAATCAACAATTTGGAATATAAGGAGGTAAAAAAACACCCAATCAGAACAGTAAGAAGGGAAAAATTGTTAATGAGAATAGCGTAAGGAGCCACTGTGACAACTTCAAGTGGACCAACATTGGCATTACGGGGTAACAGAAGGAGAAGGAGGAGAGCAAGAAATTGAAAACCTATTTTAAAAAATGACAGAAAACTTCCCCACCTTGGGGAAAGAAATAGATATACTAGTATATGAAGTGCAAGGTGTTCCACACAAGATGGACCCAGAGAGGTCCATACCAAGACACATCATCATCAAAATGCAAAAGGTTAAAGATACAAAGAAAATCTTAGAAGCAGCAAGAGAAAAGCAGTTAGCTACCTATAAGGGATCGCCCATAAGGCTGTCAACTGATTTCTCAACAGAAACTTTGCAGGCTAGAAGAGATTGGCAAGAAATACTCAGAGTGATGAAAAGGACCTACAACCAAGATTACTCTACCCAGAAAAGCTATCATTTAAAAATCAATGGATATATAAAGAGCTTCCCAGACAAGAAAAAGCTACAGGAGTTCATCGTCACCAAATCAGTATTATAGGAAATGTAAGAGGGTCTTCTTTAAGAAGAAAAAAATAAATAAATAATATGAACAATAAAATTGCTATAAATACACATCCATCAACAATTGAATCTAAACACAAAATAAATGAACAGGCAGAAAAATAACTAACGCATAGATACAGAGAACATTTTGTTGGTTGCCAGATGGAAGGGGGGTTGGGGGAATGGGTGAAAAAGGTGAAGGGATTGAGAAGTACAAATTGGTTGTAACAGAATAGCCATGGGATGTAAAGTACAGCATAGAGAATATAGTTAATAATATTCTAAAAACTATGTATGTGTCAGATGGGTGTGGGATTTATCGGGATGACCACTTAGTAAGTTATATAATATCTAATCACTGGAAACTAATACCTGAAACTAATATAATAATGTATATCAACTGTAATTTAAAAATGAAAATGATTTCAAAAATGAAAAAAAAAAAGAAATATCATCTATCAGCTGTAGAAACTCATCAGAATATCAGAGTCTAAATAGTTGATAATTGTGAGTTGAAAATAGTATTTTACAGTATTTATAGTGTTAAATAGTATTTGCTATAGAATCTGGACCCGAGTTGTTATAGCTGTGTGTATATATGGATTTGGGGGAAAATTAAGCCAAGAAGTAAATTATTTTGGAAATAGCTGGTTACATCCAAAAAGACAAATAGTAAAATATGTTATTTGAAATGTATCCATGTCTTCTCTTCCTCCCCCAAACAAGCAAACAAAACAGGGTGTGTATGTCATTGCATGGGCACCTCATTGTAAAAAGTTAGTCTTAGCCGAAGAGTAGTAAACAATGGGCTTCAGATTTCCTAACAGAACCATGATTGCACAGTCAGCTGAATCCATGAGGTGCAGACTAGACAAAAGGCCCGGGACGCAGGCGAACCCTGCTGGGTGATCTCTCCGCACAGCCTGGCCAGACAACAAAGCCAAGACTGTCCAACATGGGGAGACAGAGGCCCTCTCCAGGTCTGGCTCTGTGTTATCTCTGCCTTACACCGATCCTCACCTATTTTCACTGGTTGCACATTTTCTCAACTCTGTTCTTGCCAGTGCTAAAGAGTTTCATCAATCACAATAAAACCTGAGAAATTCCCGTTCTTAACTTGCAATGAAAAGCTAAGCACACCTCCTCTTAAGATCTTAGTTTTGCATCTCCTCTCCTGCTTATATGTGTAGCCACAAGAGTATAAACAGAAATCATGCGAGTAAATTGGAGTCCATCTGATTCTGAGTACCTTTGTCACCTGCTATTTCTCCACCTCTCCCAGACCTGTGTACTGTCACCCACACTCTGTGTAGTGAGCAGCGGACTGTCTACTATCCCCATATCGAGAGATGCTCTTCTCAGAAGAACCAAGGAAGTGCCACTCAATGCACCAAGCCATGCGGTGTGCAGGAGAATCCACGTGTGGACACACAGCGAACATCTGATGCTCGTTATTGGAGGCTCTGCT